GGGCTTCGCTGCGGCCTTGAAGGCAGAGCAGCTGCCGCGGGGCCGGGGCGGTGGGGGCTCTGTCCTCCGGCAGACCCTGTGCTCCCAAACTCCTCTTCTTCAGCGGCCTCGGCGGGATCGTGGGGTCCTGGGAGGCTGAAGCTCGTGGGTTCCCCTTTTCTTTTTCCATTTCGGTGTGTAATGGCCCGTTTTTAGCACTAGAGGGGAGTTACGAGGACGGGAATCGCGGCTGAGCCGCGCTCTGCTTTTGGCCGTTTAAGAGCAACGAAACGTAGGCTTGTGAAAAGCCAAACGGATTTTCCCCCCCCACACACCCCCCGAGAAGTAAAAGAAAACGACTGCAGCCCCACGGCCCTCCTCTTCCCTCCCCGTCTTGAAGCCCTAACGCATCCGAGCGCGGGGCTTTGGCTGTCCTCGTGCGCTTTCTGCTCCCGTTTTAAGGCCGGCTCCGCTGCGAGAACGACCTTGGCTCGGTGCCGTTTCGGACAAAACGATGAGGCCGGGGTTTTGCACGCCGCTGGGCATCACCGGGGCCGGCGGCGCCGCCGCGGGGCAGCCCTGGATCGCCCTCGCCGACCCAGCAGCTGAATTTTGTCCTGGGGTTTTGGTGCTATCCCGTGTTTTGTGGCCGAGGAGGCGGGCAGGGCTCGGAGGTGTCGGCACCGGGCTTGTGATGTTTGGTGTGGCCCTGCCTGCCAGGCTGCGGTTATCGCTCCGGCTTGTGGCCAATTTAATATCTGACTTGATGCACCAGCCGCGCCCGAAACCCGTCTCTGGTTTTACTGTAATAGCCTTTTCCGCCCTCATTCTATTAATAGAAATCTCTTTCTGAATGCGTTCAGCGATAAATTAAATCCGTTCCCCTCTTAACTGTCTCGCAGGGCTTGGGAAGCAGGCTGCCGCGTCGGGAAGGGCGTGGGAATCCCGGCGCGGAGCGGACCGGCATCGCTGGTACGGCCGGGGCGCTGGTCGTCTGCGGAGGGCTTCCTCCCAGGTCCAGGGGCTTCCTTCGGCGGTGAAGGAGCCCGAGAGCTTCCTTCTGCCTGGGGGTTTGTGAGCCGGGAGCTGGGTCTTGCCTCAGACCTACCTGCGCGGGGGGCTTAGAGACGGTCTCCTGAAAGCTGCTCGTAAACGTTCTCGGGGCCCTCCCGCCCGGCCGCGGCCGCGGCTCGCTTCGCGGTGCTCATCCTCCCTCGCTTCGTGGTGCTCATCCTCAGGCCGTAAACGAGATCGTCGAACTCCAGCGGAGGGTTCGCCGTCGTGCCCTGGGGAATCCGCAGGGAGAGGGGAAGGGAAACGGCTGTGAGATCCTGCCTTATCGGGTGGAGGTTTGGCTTGAGAGCCAGGACGCGGTTGAAAGTCGGGCCGTCGCCCTCCCAGCCCTCAACTTGGCTCCCGCTTTGGCTGTGAGTTGGGGACCGTCGCTCCAGCGTGGAGCCCCGGGCAGGGGATCCCCTTCTCCCCCCGTGACCCTGGGGTGGAGCAAACCCCCACCCACCAGACTCTACGGGAGGTCTCGCTGAGACGTCGCGTTGGGACCGAGCTCTAGAGCAGCGAGCGGCTCTGCAACGTGACCTGCTACGGGGAACGCACCTCCGCGACCGGGCTGGAGGCTCCTCTCTCCTTCCCGTCTGCGGTGGGAACTGCTGGGAGCTGCCGCCTCTTGGAGACCTGGCTGGACACGCTGCGGAAGAGCCGGTGGTGAGCGCAGGATTTGGGGGGCAGCGTGGAAAAGGCGCCTCGGGCCCCTCTGGGGAGCGGAGCGGGCAGGTCCTGCCGGGCCAGCGCCACTTCGGAGTAGATGTTCTCCTCGGGGCCGGCGCTGGGGCTCGAGCCCCGTCCCATGGCGTAGAAGGGGATGGGCTCTTCTGGCTCGTAGTAGGTGGAGGGGCCGGGTGCGATGCCCTCGTGGGGCTCGGCGTAGGTGTGGAAGCACATGAGCTGCTGGTACTTGGCATCGGCCGGCTGGGGCGGCGTGGGCGGCTCGGGGGGGACGGCTTCTTTGTGCACCTGAGCGTAGGGACCTTTGGGAGCTGCTCCACCGCCGGCGGGGCTGTGCGGCCTCTGAGCCGCGGCCAAGGAGCTGGCCTTGGCTGGGAACGGCAGGGGGACGCTGGGAGCCTGTGGAAGAGATGGGACAGGTCGGGGGTGAGGGCTGGAAGCGGGTCCGGCGTGGATCCATGGTGGCTGGGGCTGCATTCCCCGTCCCGGCTGCGTCCCCGTCCTGGCTGCGTCCCCATCCCGGCTGCATCCCTTCGCCTCGCGAGAGCTTTGGCCAGGCTGAGGCTTCTGTCCTTGGGAAAGTGCCTCCAATCCCCTCTGCCCTGCCTTTACCTCCCTGGACGAGCCTCCCTCGGCGCTGGGCTCCGCAGGCAGCGGGGGGGCCGCGGCTGTCTGCCTGGCTCCCAGGGGCCCCTTGAACACGGCGCTGTACACCAGGAGGTTTGCTGGCGCTTCGCTCGATGGGGAACGTGCAGCATCGTTGCCGGCTGGGGTCCGCGTCCCTCCTTGGGGCTCGTCTTCCTGCAACGAGAGGAGAGAGGTGAGGGGACGGGTGCATGGTCCGGGGCAGACGCAGCCGGGCGCCGGTCCCACCTCGGGTGTGCTTCCCGCGATTCGGCTCCTCGCTCCCGCCTGGGATGCTGCACGATGGCCAGGGTGGCTCCGGTGCCAACCCCGGCTTTGATTTTGCCCGGCCTCAATGCTTCGGCTTCCCTTGGCTTTGATTTCCCCCGCTCCCTACAGCAGGAACGACTCCACTTTTTCGGCTGCAGGGACTAACGAGGGGCCGGGTCCTCACCCGTCTGCACGGCACCGTCAGGAACTCGTGGTACGGCGTGATGGGGGCGGTGGCGTAGTGCCGCAGCAGGTCAGCCAGCTCGGTGTGGGCGCTCCGCTCCCCCAGGATCACGTACCGCCCGTCCGGCAGCTGGTCCAGGACGAAGTGCCGGCAGCGATCCCTGCCCCTGGGGCGAGAGGGGACGGGGTCGGCACAGCGGGCGGGAAGGGGACCGAGCGCATTGGTCCCTCGGACAGGGCCAGGGGTCTCTCACCTGTAGGACAGGACGAAGCCGACGGTGCTCTCGCTGAAGCGGACCAGAAAGCAGCCCGGGGGCTGATCCTGCAGCAGCTGCTCCGTCTCCCTGTGGGAAGGGGCCCAGAGCCGCTCGCCCTCACCACCTTCGTGGGATCCAGGGGTCCAGCTCCCTGTTTCGGAGCCCAGGGGTGGGGATGCTGAAGGGGCCACCCCGTCCCCTGCCTCGGCTTCAACCCCCGCTCACCTCCGGCTGATGAAGCCGTGGAACCAGGCTGGGAGCTTGCCCTTGGCCCCCAGCCTCCTGGCTTGTGTCTGCTCGAACCACAGCCTCGTCCGGGCACGCAGGGCCACCAGCTCCGGCTGCGGGTCCCGCTCCGGCCAGGACCAGCCCGGTGGGGACGGCCAGGAGCCTGGCGGGACCTGGAGGGAAGGGGAGAGTGGATGGGGGCTCGAGTGAGGACGTGCCCCGAGGATGCTCTGCTCCCCGCACGGGGCTCCGGATGCAACCCGGGAGGACGCGGTCCCTGCGGGTGCGTGAGCTCGGGGGCGCAGGGACGGGGAGCTGGGGGAGACAGACCCTTCCCAGCCCCGCGTCCTACCCTGCCGTCTGTGTCGTGGTGTCCCGGGGGCTGTTCTGCTCCCTG